GTAAATTACATTTCTTCATTTCTAATCTTTATGTCCTTTGTTTTTATTGTCTTACAATGCTGGCTGGGATCTCCAATATGGCACTTGTTTCTGATTCTAAGGGATTGCTCCAAAAATTTCATCTTCAGATATGTTTATTGTAGGTTTTATTGACTTAATAAAGTTCTGCACAATTCTAATTTGGCAAAAGGTTTTATCCATGTCTATGTTAATTTTTTCAAAAGCATTTTTTTTTTTTTTTTTTTGCATCTACTCAGACAACCATATCGTTTTTCTCCTTTAATCTTTTTGTCCCTTTAGTGAGGAAGATTCGCCCTGATCTATCATCTGTTGCCAATCCTCCCCTTTTTGCTTGAGGAAGATTGTCACTGAGCTAACATCTCTGCCAATTTTCCTCTATTTTGTATGTGGGATGCAGCCACAGCTGGCTTGATGAGTAGTGTGTAGGTCCACACCCAGGATGCGAACCCATGAACCCCAGGTTGCCAAAGCAGAGCATGCAAACTTAACCACTACACCACTGGGCTGGCCCCTTCTCCTTTAATCTTTTAACATGTTAAAATACATTCCTTGGTTAAATTCAACCTGATCATATTTATTATCGCTTTTACACATTCGCTGGGTTATGTTTGCTATTTTACTTAGGACTTTTGCCTTTATCTTCATGAATATGATTGGACTTTCTCTTACTGTCCTTATTAAGTTTTAGTGTCAATGTTACAGAAGCCTAATAAAATGAATAGAAGAGTGTTTTCTCTTTTCTATATTGTGAAATGGTTTGTCTAAGATTGAAATGATTTGTTCTTTAAATGTTTAGCAAAACTGTCTGGGCAATATATTTTCTTTTTGGAAAATTTCTACTGATTCAATCTCTTACATAGCAAGCAGACTACTCCTATTTTCTATTTCTTCTTGAATGACTTTTGAAAAGTTACATTTTTCTGAAAACTGTCTACTTCACTTACTATTTTTTCATTTAATAAAATTGTTCATGCTATCTCCTCAATCTCTACAGCATTTGTAAAAATGTCCTCATTTTCATTTCTAATCTTTGTGTCTGCTTTCTTTCTTGAGTAATCTTGTCAAAGATTTATCAATATTATTAAAAGATACAACTTTTGACTTTGTTGCCCCTCTGTATTAAATATTTGCTTTTTGTTCCATTCATTTCATTATTTTAATTTTATTTCCATTATTCGTTTCCTAATCCCTGAGGTTTAGGGCTGATTACTAGCTCTTTAATTTCCAGTCTTCCTTAAGTAGTTAAAGTTTTCAATTTCCGTGTTAGGTACAGTCATGCATTGCTTAATGACAGGGATACATTCTGAGAAATGTGTCTTTTGGCGTTTTTGTCATTGTGCGAACAATGTACATGTCACAGCATGTACTTACACAAATCTAGATGCTATAGCCTACTACATACCTAGGCTATACAGTACTAATTTTATGGGCACCATTGTATACGTGGTCCACTGTTGACTGAAACGTTATTTGGCACACGACTGTACTGTTTTAGCTGCATTCTCTAGATGTCGATACGTAGTATTTTTGTCATTGTTCAGTTTTGAATATGTATTTTCTATTTTTCATTGAGAATCTTTATTTGAATTTGACCCATCTTACATGGAAATGGGATTCTTATTTTCCAAATATATGAGGTGTTCTAGATTTCTGTTATTGTTAACTTAATTATACCTTGATTAGAAAACGTGATCTAAATGATACCAGTCCTTTGAGATTTTAACACTTTTTATAGTTAAATTTTGTAAATGGTTCATGTGTACTTAAAGTATTTTTCATTTCTATTTTTAGTAATGATGGACTAGATAATTTAGACTAGTACTTCTTCTGAGGACAACTAGAAAAGCTAGACAAAATATAAAACAAACATCTGAAGGCATTAGAGACCTAATGAGGCAGTGGAAAATCCAGAAGAAAAAACCAGAGTTGTTGAACCCAGCATTTATGATAGCTTTTGCTTTGGGGTATTTGCTGATTCCTGAGAAGATGGCTGAGAAGCTGAACAGAGCTTCTGATTAACTCACGGAGTTAAAAAGACAAAAATTGGAGTTCAGGGCCTGCTCTGGCAAATTCTACAGGCTTCAAGTTGAGACCTTAGAGGGTATGAACTAGAAGTATATCTGCTCAGATTTCAATCATCTCAATCACTGTCTAGATTAAGATGATTTTAGATTACTAGTGTCCAAAGCCCTTGCCAGGGCACATAAATCCTTTCTGTAGAAAATATCATCATTTTAGACTTCAAACTATAATTTCTTCATATACTAGTTCTGACATTTAATCAAAAACAACATAACATAAATCAACAAAATTTTATAAATAAAAATAACTCAAGTAATATAAAATAAAAAAATGTAACATAAAATTAAATAAGACAATATGGTAAACAGCAACCACAACAAAGAAACAAAGAAGCTTCAGGCAATAGCAGACCTCATAGTTTCTAGACACAGGTTTTAAAATAATTATGTTTAATATGTTTGAGAAAATAAAATATCAAATTGAGATAGATAACTAGCTACATAACCAGAAACTAAAACAGAACCAAACAGAAATGCTTGAACTGACAACCAAAAAGATAATAACTGAAATAATAAATGCTTCAACAGATATGTTTAAAGCGGATTAGAGACTATTAAAAAGAAAACAGTGAGCTGAAAGGTAAGAGTTATCCAGAATAAACCATGGAGAGACAAATGAACAGAAACATAAGGGATAAAGTCAAATGATCTAACATACATTTAAGTGGAGTATGAAAAGGAGAGGAGCGGGGAGAGAGTGCGGCAGAAGAAGTATCTGATGAGATAATAGCTGAGAATTTTCCAAAACAGGATAAGGACATAGATCTCAGATTCAGAAGCATTACAAATCTCAAAAAGAAAACAAACAACAAAACAAAGAAAACAACATTTAGTCACATCATCGTAACACTGCTTCAAATTTAAGACAAACATCTTAAAGGCAGCCAGAGGAAAAAAGAGATTACCTTTAAAGGGGCAAAAATTATTTCTCAAAAAAATTACAGAAGCCAGAAGCAATGGAATCTATCTTCAAAATGATAAAATAGCTGCTAATTCAGGAAAAATGTTCTTTGAAAATTAAGGTGAAATAGTTTCAGGAGACAAAAACTGAATTTGTCAGCAGCAGACATTTACAAAAGGAAATACTAAAGCATGTTCTTTAGGAATAAGAAATATGATCCCAGATGGAAGCTCAAAAACTCAAGGAGTCATGAAGCACAACAAAGTAAATATCTGAGTAAATATAAATGCACATTAATTGCATAAAAATAATAATGTCTTGAAGAATTTAAGAAATATATATTAAGTCTATACAACGTATACAACGTGGGGTGGGGTGGTAAATGAGGATAATGTGTTCTCAGGTCCTTATATTGTCCAGGAAGTACAGTTATTAAAATATAACTGTCAGGCTTATGAGGTGCCGGAAATGAAATAATTGAAAATAATCAATCTAAAAGAAGGAAAACAACATAGGAGAGATGGGACAAATAAAGAGCAAATAATAAGACAATAGGTTTAAATCCAAGTTCATTAGTAATTGTGTTACATGTAAGCAGACCAAACACTTCAATTAAAAAAATATTAGAGTAGGTTTTAAAAAATGTATTATTTCATATCACTCCTCAGGTTAAATGCTTTTTCCATTGTACTTAGAATAAAATCCAAACCCTTTCCTGGCTTTCAATGCCAACATAATTTAGCCCTTCCCTACCCCCAAACTTATACTTTTCTCTTATCACTATGCTCCAACCAGGCAGGCCTTCTTTCCTTCCTAAAATATTCCAAGCTAGTTCATGCCTTAGAGTTTTGCATTATTGTCCCCTTTGCAAGTAATGATTTCCCCAATATCGGCAAAGCTGGATTCTCCTGCCAAACAGCAGCTTAAACGGCACTTTCTTAGAAGCTTTCCTTAGTCACCTGATCTAAAACAGTCATTTACTTTAATTTCTTGCCTAGGACCATTAGTATCTTATATTTTTCTTGTTTATTTACTTATGGTCTATTACCACTAAAATGTAAATTCCCTGATAGTAGGGACAATGCCTGCTCTATTTACCACTGTTTCTCCAAGCCTAGAACAGTGACTGGGACGCAGTAGACACTCAAATATTTAATGAATGAATAAAGCTAATTTAAGTTTTTAAACAGATAGGTACTTTTTTATGGCTTTGTGTATTTACTGCTTTTGATGGTGGGTGTTTAGACTTTCCTGATACCAAAAGGTATCAAATGATATCAAGGTTACTATGGTAACATGTAAATAAAGGAACAGTTCAGAGGAAGGCTATTGAATTATTAAAGGTTTGCAATACCCTTCTGAAGAACAGGTTTGTTTGTTTTTGCCAAATTAGAGAGATGAGAGTAATATAGGTGGATGTTACAAAGCATAATTTCGGGGGAGGGGAAGCTCCTTTCATCCTTTCTTAAGTAAAAGGAAATAAATTTTTAAAAAATTACCCCCTTACAGAAAGGTGGTTTTCGTGTGGTCATTCCAGGAATGTTGAGTTATATACTTTGGTTATTTCCTTTTTTACTTGTTTCTATGCTTAGGATTTTTTCCTTGTCAAAGCAATTATAATAGTCATAACTCTGCATCCAGCTCTTTATCTTAGAAAACAAACAGTTTCCATTAGAAAGACTAGCCTGATGACTTTTAAAAATAGATAATATTCCACTAAGTATATATGATAGAATTTGATCAATCTCTAATTGCTAAAGATTGTTCCTGATTTTTAACCATTATAAGTATTGCTACAAGTAATATTTTTGTCCATAAAGCATTTTAAGAGCAATTTAACTGAAGTGATTTTGTCCACAACATTCATTTAAATAGTATTTCTTAAGGGGAAGGGGGCGGGCAACACAAAAAGGTTCCAGCTCTCCAGGTGTTTATGTACAATTAGGAAAACAATATACATTGGGGGGAAAATGACAAAAGCACCATATAACAACCCATATAATAATCATATTTATTAAATGTAAGAAAAAGTGCTGGAAATTTCTTAGAGGAGGAGCTAATCAGGAAAACATTTTACAAAGACCATGAGGCTGGACTTTGAAAAAGTGATAGTTCTCAAAGGTTGAAAATGTTCCAGGTCACTGTGGGTGTTGAAAGAGGAGGTAATTTTGTGTTAGTGTTCTTAAGTACTTGAGAACAGTTCTCACTCAGGACATTGCATCTCATCACAAAGCTCTAATACTAAGCAACCAAGATTTTTATCAAAGATTGTACTCCTAACTCCCTTGCCAAAACTACCAAATTTCTTTTTAATCTGTCATCTATATCTTTTTTCCCTTTTCATAATTCTCCCCTTTCTTTATACCTCTGTCAAAGACTCTCATCTATTTTAAGTAATGGAAATAGGTAAATCCCTCTACTTCAAGGCAGGTAACCGATAGAAAACATTATAAGTATTCTGTGGGATAAAAAAGACTGGGAGATGCTGCCTTAAAACATTTTTGCATGTATTTTAATTTTTAAAAAACATTACTTATAACAGATTTTTCACAATGAAATAGGAACACTAAAGGGTATTAACAAAGGGTCATTTATCAACTTGCCATACACCAAATAAGAAACATAGAAGCCCACAATCTATTAAAAATAATAAGCAGAGGGGTGGGCCGGGTGGCATCGTGGTTATGTTAGCACACTCCTTCAGCGGCCTGGGGTTCACGGGTTTCGGGTGTGGACCTACACACAGCTGGTCAAGCCGTGCTGTGGCGGAATGCCATATACAAAATAGATGAGGACTGGCACAGATGTTAGCTCAGGGCCAATCTTCCTCACCAAAAATAATGATAATAATAATAATAATAAGCAGATAATGAATACTATGATTTCCTTTCATGGTTTTACTCTGGCAGGAATGGATTCCACTCTGATCATAATTTCAGTCTTACAGTCACATAGGAGACGCTCTGTGAACCTCAATGAGGCTGTCAGGTTTAGGATGGATCTAAGAACCACAGCGTCAGAAATGAGAAGAGCAAGACTTCACAGCATGTGTTGTCACTGGCAGACAGATAGCCACTTTCCTTCTCCACCTTTTCTTCCTCAAGGATAGCAGCTGTTTCCCACAGGTACACCAGCAGACAACTCCAATCCCTCTCTATCACACTTAGCATGTGCAGATGCCCTGGGGCTTGTTAATTTACAACCTAGACCCTGTACAGCAGAAGCGGAACCCTCAGGGAAGTTCTGGATCCATGCTCAGCAGGATGTTTCACAGTTTCCGAGCTCCACCCCAGCTCTAGCTGTTTCCAGTGTTAGTACTACTTATGATTCCTACATCTTCTCTGTCATACAATTAACCACCCCCCCAATTCAAAGTAAAAACAACTCATACATTCAGTCTCCAGCCCCCTTTCTAACATAAAGCAACTACCCTGTGCATGCTTCTTTGAGTGGCTCAGAACTCTGACTCCCACGGTTTTTCACCATTTATAGCTTGGATCTCATGCTCTCCAGGTACTTTGATAAGGACAGTGACACTTAACACCTACAGCCACCCCTGCCTGCCCAACCTTCTTAACTTCTTCTGAAGCTTCTCAGTTTCCCTTCCCAATTCCAGCTTTAAGATAAAACTAGATACTATGGCAAAACAGACCCCATAGATGAAACTGTAGATCATCTATCATGACCGACTGGAGCAAGGATCCCCAAGTTGTCACATTAATTTCCGGGTTAAAGGTGCTGTGTATATCCACTTCAAGCCTGCCTCCAGTACTATAACTTGTTATAGCCAAATAAAAAGGCAGAGAGAGTTGACAGGTACAGATTTCGGAAAAAACAACACAAAATTAAGACTTATAGAGGAGTTCCACTTTTTTCCAGATGATGAAATATATTTTTTAAACTAAAAGGAAACGGTCCATTTCGGAATGCATTAAATAGGCAGAATTCTCCTCCTGGTTACTCTGTTCTTGGTAGATGTCCTTCTGGCTTCAGCTGGTATCTGTGAATAGCGAAGAAACTTCTCACGATCAAATTCCCCTGCCCTGAAGAAGGGCAGAGTTGGAGGATCCCCTAAAGCAGGTCGCAGAGACGACAGAGGGACGGGTCTGTGGAGATCTGCAAAGTCTCCAACAAGTGAGAGCCGGGGAAACGAGAAGGCAAAGGGAGAAAGGGCGTCCTGAGCTGAGTCAATTCCGATGTGGTCTCAGCACGAGCCCGGCCTCACTGTGGTTTTCCAAAACCCCCAACTAAATCCGCCGCGTCTGGAGTCGGCCCCCACCTCGCTTACCAACCTGCACCTCCACCACCTCCAGGGCGAGGAAGCTCTCCGACCCAGACCACACGCCTACCTCAGGATCCCGGCACGCGCCGCAACTGCGCGCCGCCCGCCCACCTACCTGGGCTGCGCCTGCGCCTCCCCGACGCGCTCTCAAGGTCAGCACCACCCCCCGCCTCTAACCTAGATCCACGGAAGTGGCCGTAGAGGACGTCCTGCGTATCCTCACCTCTGCGTGGCGTGGGGTCGCCAGCGCTCAGGAGAGGGGCGGGACTTCCTGTCCCGCGCGAGAAGAACTTCCGGCAGAGCCGGAAGACCCTCTCCCTCGCGGTGTCGAGAGGTTCCCGGCTGCAGGGTGGGGAGGGGACGTCCGGGAAGGTCCCGGCGACTCCAAGGCGTCTGGTTCACGACCTGTCTTTGGTGCCATGGTGAGTCCTTGTGTGAGGGCTGGAGTAACAACAGTGGGGAGGAAGGAGCCGGGAGGTCAGTCCTGTGAAGGGAGCCGGTCGGCTGCCCAGCTGGGGATGGAGCGGGCGGGAGCAATGAGATGAGCCGCGGGGCAGGACCCACCCACCACCTGCCCCAGAGAGCTGGAGCGCCTGGGCCCCTGAGGAAGCAGCACCTGTCCTGCCCAACCGCAAGATCTGTACAGGAGTACGGAGTAGGTAGCCACAATGTTCGTAGCCCATTCACTGTGTACGGCGCGTGGCGCCAGGTGGTCCCAGAGTTGACCTTGCCCGATTGATCATCTCCCTTCCCTCCTTCTCAGCTGCAAGGCAGTGGCCAAGAATTTCAGGCCTTAGGGTGCCTTTAGCCTTTCCAGATGGACACAGCAGATCCCCTTCTTGTGGAGGATCAACACTTGTCACTTTAAGAAACGGCAAAGTCAGTTTGTCTTTCATGCTCAACCCTTTTGGAATTGGAAAGAGTGTCAAATTAAAAAATCTGGATTTAGTAAGGGGAGACTTTATTCGAAAGGAGTATTGCAAGGGCGTGAAGAAAGGGGCTATTGCAGTAGGGAGAATGTAATAGGGAATTGTTAAGGAGGAGTTGTATCTTGTTTCAAACTGAAGGTGCGCCAAAGTTCAGGGACCTAGGGAAGAGGATCTTAACCAGAGCTGGGGTACAAACATTTTGTTCCAATTGATCTATGGGGACAAGCAAAGAATGAGAATTTCCAAGCTCTTTGTCTGGCCTTGTCATAGGTAAATAAGGGGAGCATCCACGAGTCTTACCTAAGTCCTATGGGGACAGGCAGGTCCTTGGAATAAGCAGTTTCGAGAACACAGAAGGCTAGGGGTGGAGGGATTTCTTAACCTTTGCTGTTTTCTGAGATCACAGGGGTCCTGTAAAGTTCAACATTGTCAGTTACTTGTCTAAAAGATTTCAAATCCTTATCTGAAGGGGATTCTGTCTTGGAATTTAGCCACAGTTTGCCATGCTTTTTCAGGACCAAGTGTTGACATCGTTCAGCTATTGTGTATGATGACTGACTTTTGAATGACTTTTAGAAACTTCACTGAATGTGAAACAAAAGAACTTACAAATAATGTGGTTCCTCGTGTTCTCTGCCAGCTAACCTATGACTCTTTTGGGCACTGTGTGTGTGTGTTTTTAAACCTCAGTGAATAATACAGTTTGTATTCATTAAGAGTTTTTTTTTTTCTTCCCCATCTGTATCAATGAAATTAGACAAAGATAGGGAACAGTAGAACAAGAAGAAACCAAAGTTAATAATTAGCCTAACCACCCCGGAACCCCTAATTTTACAGAAGGAAGAATCTGAGGTCTAGAAATAGGCAGTGATTTACTAAGGTAACAATAGTTTGGCATAATCTGAACTAAAACTCAGATTGCTACTTCTTAGACTTAAGTTCAGTCTTTGACATCTTGGTCTGAAAAATTGAAGATAGAGTGTAATTAAAATCCTTAAGTTTATAATAGTCACAGAGAAGTTGAATGTGAACTTATTCCCAGTATTCTGTAATACTAAAAGTAGAACTCTCCCCCTGCCAGCTCAAAAAAGGTAGTTTTGTTTTAAGCCAAGGTAAACAAACTCATGCTGTTTCTCAAAATGTCACTTAAGAGAATGTCACCTAGAGAATGCCACCAGGAGCTAGGTAGTTGACGCTCTCCATTCTGGTATTGCCTATATTTCTGAGTTAATTAACTCTGCTTTAAATTTCCCAGCTGTGAAATTGATAATGTCTGTATGTGTAAGTGTGGTCAATGCTTGGAATCCTTCAAAAGAAAGAATTTAGCCATTAAACAAAATGAACAAGGGTTAAATTTATTTAGGATTCAGCTTGGTTGAATTGAGAACTTTTGCAGGGCTTACGCCTAATGATATAATGAAAAGAGTGCAATACTTGAACTCAGAAGACCCAGATTCTGCCATTATTAGGTGTATGAATTTGGCAGAATCACTCAACTTAGATAAGAGTTTCAGTTTCTTCCTAGATAAGAGAGGTGAGACTTGGTGGGGATTAAAACACCTTCTAACTCTTTTATTTATGATTCTATGACTTCATTTAGGACTTTTTTCAGGATAACTATGTTTCTGATTAAATAAAATTTAGTCTGATTTCTACTCTTTTTTTCTTTGCCATTTTGATTTCTTTTATCATTCTCCTTTTCACTTTTTATACATTATGTAGGTAGTACTTGGAATTTTTGTCCATATGTTTGTCCAGGTATTGCGCTACTATCTTAAATACTATGTCAGAATGGAAAGCAGAACCTTGGGACACCTTGATTTTATTTTTGTTTTAATCAATATAAATTCATTCTCTTCTCTTATTGTCCGATACATTATGTACATCAAAACTCAATACATGCCTGTGCATGTAATAAATTCCTCCTGTTGTGAGCAATGACAATAGGATTATGATCCAGACTAAAAGTATTGAGTATTCACTCCTTTTTTTTCCTTTCATGTTCTTGTGAAAATGGACAGTCCATAGAAAATTTACTGAAGGAATAAAACTATTTGTTCTGTTGTACTTTTCTTTTTTGAAAATTACAGATCAACTCTTCAATCAAATAGCTATTGCCACCATTTAGGCTGATGTGTGGGAGAAAAGTAGATTGGAGCTAGCTCCTGGAATTGTAGATATTTCATGGTTTGTTTTATCTATGTACCGTCCTGTGGTAACTTTTACTGCTGGTATCGAGCTATGGTCTGTTGGGAAAAAAGGTTGTAAACCTCTGCCTTAGTCAATCAGAATTAATGAGAAAGTTTTCTTTTTGGCAGGTAGAGAGAGGTGTTAGGAAGAGGATGTGGTAAATGTTATGAGAGAAATATGTGTTATGCCCTCAAAGAGTACAGAGGAAAGAAATTAATTCTAACTGGGGGGAGGAGGCCATGTAGTAGGTGATTTCAACTGAGTTTTTTTTTTTTTTTTTTAAGATTTTATTTTTTCCTTTTTCTCCCCAAAGCCCCCCAGTACATAGTTGTATATTCTTTGTTGTGGGTCCTTCTAGTTGTGGCATGTGGGACGCTGCCTCAGCGTGGTTTGATGAGCAGTGCCATGTCCGCGCCCAGGATTCGAACCAACGAAACACTGGGCCGCCTGCAGCGGAGCGTGCGAACCTAACCACTCGGCCACGGGGCCAGCCCCCGATTTCAACTGAGTTTTGAAAAGTGAGTTAGGACACTAGTTCTCAAACTTGAGTTTGCATAGGATTTGCTTGTGATGCTTGCTAAAAATGCTTATCTGGGCCCCATTATTGGGGGATGGAGTTTCAGAATCTTATTTTTAATGAGTTTTACAGTTCAGTCTGAAACTGGTGGTCCTTAAACCATGCTTTGAGACAACTCTAATGCAGACATTAGAGACTTTGATAGGGATATTGGAGATTTGTTGGTTACTTTAATTTGTGGGTTACTTTAATTGATTTTTGAATGTTGAACTAGCCTCCTATGCCTGGAATAAATCCCACTTGGTTGTGGTGTATAATTCTTTTTATGCATTGTTGGATTTGATTTGCTAATATTTTGTTTAGGATTTTTGCATCTGTGTTCATGAGAGATATTGGTCTGTAGTTTTCTTTTCTTGTAATGTCTTTGCCTGGTTTTGTAACAAGGTAATGCTGGCCTCATAGAATGAGTTAGGAAGTATTCCCTCTGTTTCTATCTTCTGAAAGAGATTGTAGAGAATTGGTATAATTTCTTCCTTAAATTTTTGGTAGAATTCACCAGTGAACCCATCTGGGCCTGGTGCTTTCTGTTTTGGAAGGTTATTAATTGTTGATTCAATTTCTTTAATAAATATAGGCCTATTCAGATTGTCTGTTTCTTGTGTCAGTTTTGGCAAATTCTGTCTTTCAAGGAATTGGTCCGTTTCATCTAGGTTATGAAATTTGTGGGCATAACATGGTATTCCTTTATTAGCTTTTTAATGTCCATGGGATCTGTAGTGATGTCCCCCCTTTCATTTCTGATATTACTAATTTGTGTCCTCTCTTTTTTTCTTACTTAACCTGGTTAGAGGCTTATTAATTTTATTCGATCTTTTCAAAGAACCAGTTTTTGATTTCATTGATTTTTCTCTATTGGTTTCCTGTTTTCAAGTTCATTTATTTATGTTCTAATTCTTATTATTTCTTTTCTTCTGCTTACTTGGGATTTAATTCACTCTTTTTCTGTTTTCCTAAGGTGTAACCTTAGGTGCTTGATTTTAGATCTTCTTTTGTAATACAGTCGTATGTTGCTTAACTACAGGGATACTTTCTGAGAAATGCATCATTAGGCCATTTTGTCATTGTGTGAACATCATAGACTGTACTTCCACAAACCTAGATGGTATAGCCTACTACACACCTAGGCTATATGATACTAATGTTATGGGACCATATATGCAATTTGTCATTGACTGAAACATCATTATGCAGCACATGACTATATATATATATATATATATATATATATATATGTGCATTAAATGCTATAAATTTCCCTCTAAGCACTGCTTTTGCTGCATCCTATAAATTTTGATAAGTTGTGTTTTCATTTTCATTTGGTTCAAAATATGTTTAATATCTCTTGAGATTTTCTCTGACCCATGTGTTATTCAGAAATGAGTTTAATCTCCACATATTTTGGGATTTTCCAGTTATCTTTCTGTTATTGATTTCTAGTTTAATTCCATTGTGATCTGAGGGCAGACATTGTATAATTTCTATTCTTTTAAATTTGTTAAGGTGTTTTTATGGCCCAGAATGTGGTCT